TAGTGAGGTGTTGGCTAGACCCCTTATATACCTTCCTTTGATGCTTTACTTTCATAGTTCCTTGATAATGTGAGTAGTCACGAAAGCGCTTGGAATTTCTCTATTCTTTCACAGTGGTTGTTTTACATACTTTAATATTATATATATTATATATATATATATATATATATATATATATATATTATATATATATATTATATATGTCGTGCCAAATAGGCAGAACTTGCGATCTTGGCTTAAATAGCAACGCTCATCTTGCCATATAGGACAAGCAAAAATTTGTGTATGCAATAACCTAACGAAAAAAATATATTTCACTGTGTTTGTTTAGTATTAAATTATTGTAAACAAGTCTAAAATATATTTAGTTGGGTTAGGCTAAAATAAATTGTTCTTGTTATAATAAAGTTTGGAGGGATATGTTGTGTATCTTTATATGTGTATGCTTCTAGACTGTTGTATTCTGAGCACCTCTGCAAAAACAGTGATAATGTGTGAGTGTGGTGAAAGTGTTGAATGATGATGAAAGTATTTTCTTTTTGGGGATTTTCTTTCTTTTTTGGGTCAACCTGCCTCGGTGGGAGACGGCCGACTTGTTAAAAAAAAAAAAAAGTTTTCTAAGATTCTTTTGGTGCAATATTAAAAAATTTTACATTAACATTAATGAAAAAAATATATCTTTAAACGTATAAGAGAACATTTTAGAAAGGACTTAATTTTAAATGAGATCTTGCTAATTGACCAGTTTTACATATTCGGCACGACATATATATATATATATATATATATATATATATATTATATTTATTATAATATATATATATATATATATATATATAATATATATATATATATATATATATATATAATATTTATTTATTACATCCTTGAACCCTTTCGGTAGGTGACTGTAGGTAATTGTAACACGGAGCTCCAGGTAGGTCCTCAGGTGGGTCACTGAAGGGGTCAGTTTGTGGCGGTGGCCGGGAACACATGTTTTGTTGTACCTGCAATACCATCATACTCTTACTTATTATGAATAGTTCCATGCCTATCCACTGCATAAAGGTCATTAAGGTTGAAATTCGCCCTTACATCAACATTAAGAATACTTTAGACCATCAAATGTGAATAAAAGTATGTTCATTGAATATACATCTCTCTGTGTCCAGTATATACCTGCGATAATTGCATCTTTAAGCGAAGTACATTTACAGATCCATGAAACACAATTGATGAAAGAATAAATCTCAATTAGTGGACGGAGAATCGAGCCTCCACCACTCCTTGTAGTAAATGGTCAATAAGAGTTTAGCTCTTCATGAAATACAATCAAAGGTTTTTTCAAACTATTAGATAAAATGAACATTAAAATGGTATAAAATCCGACAGATTGTTAG